TGTGTGTGTGTGTGTGTATGTGTGTGTATTTTGGTGTGTATGTGTTGGTATATGTTATACATGTTTCTGTCTTTCTCTCCTTTTCTCTCTATCGTTAATCTCTGCAGATAACAAAGCAAGTGGTGCGTCTGTTCTTCCTTTACATCTTCAAGAACACAGACCCAATAGTCACGGGCTTCTCTCTGGTAACCTGCAGCACATCTCCGAATTTCCCCCAAACAGCTAACACATTCTCAGTCAGCTTTTACTCACTCATGCGTGTAGATCACCTTGTCTTGGCTCAGGACGTGGAGTCGAGACTGATAGCGATAAATGATAACCACAGCTGGAATGTCGTTGTGAACGGAGTTCCTCTGGAGCTAAAAGCGAGATACACCGAACCGCCTCCTGCCTATATTATTTTCAGCGGTCTTAAATCAGAGATCAGGTCCGGACAAATGAAGAACCAAGATCACAGCGCCTGGACAATGGTAGTTAAGAAACATTCCAAGGAGCTAAATCCGAGATACACCATCAGAAACTGTAGGGATGTTCTCCATTTTTCTGGAGTAGGAAGCTCTTGCTATGAAAGAATGTTGTCATGTCACGGGCAGCATACTGTGATGCCTTTGGAACAGTTGACCTACTTTGCTGTGAAAAATACGCTAACGTGTCCTCGTTTGACCTTTAACCTCTCAGCAGAAGGTGATGGGATCGAGATACTTGTCAAAACAGAGGAAAACATCGTCTGGAAAGCCTACGAAATCCATCATAGCGCACGGGGGGATCCGCTCTCTCCTCAAGACTTCCACGTCAACGAGGAGAAAAATGTCGTGTATGTTTGCGCGGATGCTTTTGCGAAATACACCCCAAGCCGAAAGTCTCTGAATGTCACTAGTATAGATATTTTTGGTGTAGGCTTAGTGGTCACTTCATACATCTGTCTAGGCTTGTCCATCGTAACCTTAGGCTTAACTCTTCTTACCTACGCCCTTTTTGCATCATTGAGAAGCCTACCCGGGAAAGCTACCATGGCATTTTCTGGAACCTTGTTGGCTGCCATTGTTTTGTTCTTGATTGGAGGCTTTGTCGCCGACCGCAGGCTCCTGTGTCAGGTGGTGGGCGTGGCTACTCACTTTTCCCTCCTCTCAGCGTTCACCTGGACTGTCATATGCACGGTACACATGTACTACGTATTTACCAAATTGTTAGAGAACAACACAGCTGAGCATGAAACAAAGTCCAGGTTCCTCGTTTACGTTTTGATTAGCTTCTTAGTCCCCTTCATCATCGTTTCGTTGACGATCACGGGTCACAGCATTACTCAGGCGACAAAAGAGGAAGCAGTCATGGACGACACCAGTGTGGAAGCACAACTTTTTATCACGTGTGAGGTTCCGACTGATTGGATTGGCTACGGCTCAGGAATTTGCTACCTCTCCAACAAGCACAACCTACTGTTTGCAGGCATGGTGCCGATTATTCTGGCATGCCTCATCAATCTGGCGGTATTTCTCCGAGCGATGATCGCTTTACGAAGAATGACGTCCGAGCAGAAACTGGTGAGGAAAGACACGACAAACAACTTGTTGATCTACATCAAGCTCTCCTCTCTCACAGGTTAGTCTTTTTCATGTTTGCATTTTCTGCATTTTTAAGATCCGTTTATGAGGTGGACTTCAACCTTGTCTGCCTGGACCAGCTAGGGCTAAAAGGGCTACAATATGCCAGATGAGAGACCAATATACTCGATAACAATTCTCTCCCCCTGGCTATCAACCTCAGGTCTTTTGACGTATGACAATCTAGCTGGGCCCCTTTTTAATGAAAGCAATGGTCGGTGCATTTACATCACCTGAAAGTCATTGGTCTACTACACTCTAATGGAATGGAGCAATAAATCTTGAGAGAAAAGTGACACACGCGTTTCCAAGTTGCCAAATATATACTTATGTAGGCCTATAGATTTATTCGCTATTCCGCTTTCGTGGTTGTACACTCCATAATTTCAAAGGTTTGGAAAAAGTGTGCACGGCCAGTGAACGGAAACTTCACTTTTTTACAATGGCCTCTTAAAAGACGGACTTTCCCAAGATTAGATCTAAACGAAACTAATGAAAAACTGAAAATTAAACTACAGTGACTTCAGACTCCTCAGTAAAACTGTGCACCCTTAAAATGATTCTGAACCACCTTTAATTTTTTCAAATTCGAAAGTTAAGTGGTTCGGAAGTTTCAGGCGGTCAAACTGACGAACTACCACAAATATAATATGTAGAGATAGATAACAAGTTTCTGTATTTTTTCTATTTTTTTTGTATTGGAAGCCCCACTGGCAAATGAGCGATGAATTACAGCTCTCGATAGATAGATGGATAGATAGATGGATAGATATAAGGATGCTTAGATAAATGGATAGATAGTTGGTTGGATAGATAGATGGATGGATGGATGGATGGATGGATGGATGGATGGATAGATATATAGATATTGCGACAATACAGGCAATGCTTAATCGTTCACATATATCCCGATGATTGGAGACATACTACAAGAGAGTAAAATACCCACAAGTCTCTCCACCTGTCAATCGACCTCAGGTCTTCAGACGTACGGCGGATGACCACTAGGAGAACCAGTAATTGCTACAACACAGACACCGGTGGTAGAGTTTTTCTCGTTAAAATGTTCGCCTCTCTTTCAAAGATACCGGGTTCGAATCCAGGTAGCGACAGGAAAAATGTCTTCTCTAAAATGGTCTCCTTTTACCTCCTTTCCTGCTGTCTAGCAATGTTCTGGAGTCTGCTTTCGTCTCCCCTTTCTGCCCCCACCCCCTTACCTCTTTTGCCCCCTCCTCTGGGCTCTTGACTCTTTCTGCAGCCTTTCTACTGCTTCCCCTTGGCTCCTCCTTACTGTTGTCTTTCAGCCACACCCCTGATCTTCTGATAGGAAAGATCTACACCTAGCCTTCTCGGACGAGGGCTAAAAATCTCGGAGGTCATGTGTGCAAGTTGCGCTCGTTAGAGATCCCTTGGTGGTCTAAAATCGAAAAGAGTAGGCTTCGGCCTACCGAGCACATCCAACGTAGATCGAAAATAAGTCGGTTTTTCAGATTGTCATTGACTAAAGCAATTTAAAATTGGAAAAGACCAGGTGATCTACCATACTGTGGTAGAGGCTAAGTAGCATAAATGCCAGACAGAAGTGGAGCAGAGTTGTATTATTTTCCCTTAATCTGAAATGTAACTTTAGAAATTTCTAAAACCCTTACTCGTCAGTCGTCAGAATATTATATCGCAATTTGCTGCTGAGGGTGTTCCTTTTGCTAGTGATGCTGTTTCTACTGTGTCTACTATCTATCTCTCTCTGTCTCTCGTTTTGTAGGTTATGTTTTGGTATCAGTTTCAGCTATTTTCCGGGAGGTTTGAGGGGGGGGGGAGTAGAAAGTTCTTTTGAAAAGCTTAATAATTCTCCAGAAAGATTGATGTGCGCAGGATGGTAATTAAAACGATACACGGTTATTGTAACTACAATAAATAAAATGTATTGATGGCAACGACAACGTAAAGAAGAAGAAGAAGAAGAAGAAGAAGAAGAAGAAGAAGAAGAAGAAGAAGAACAACAACAACAACAACAACAACAACAACAACAACAACAACAACTACAACAAAAACGACAAGAAAATAACATACGTACTAACGCTAACAACATCATCAACAACAAAAACAACAGCAATAGAAGCACCGCTATCATCATCATCATCATCATCATCATCATCATCATCATCATCATCAGCAGCAGCAGTAGCAGCAGCAGCAGCAGCAGCAGCAGCAAAAGCAGCAGCAGCAGCAGCAACAGCAGCAGCAGCAGCAGCAACAGCAGCAGCAGCAGCAGCAAAAGCAGCAGCAGCAAAAGCAGCAGCAGCAACAGAGCAGCAGCAGCAGCAGCAGCAGCAGCAGCAGCAATTCCTACAACAGCGCACAAACAAAGTTAATATTAAGAAGTGAAAGATAAAAAACCCAACAGGAGCAGCCCAGCAATGCAAGCACTTCAGTAACAGGGACCAATAGTAGAATAATGTTGATAATATGACATAAGCCATACCTCACAGACAGGATTAAACACCATAAGCAAGAAATACAAAATGCACAAAAAATTAATTAATAGTAATAGATGGCATTTGTATAGCACAAATCCCCGCTCAACAGCGAGCTCTATGCGCTTCACATTTATACTATTACCCCAGCAGACATGAGAACCTTCTGAAACAATCTCAATTTCCTGGGAAGCATACAGTGCAAGCTGCCATATAGGCCCTAAAACACTAACATACTGACAAGATCTTTCACTGTCTATTAATACCACCCCCCCCCCTCCACCTTTAAAATATCAGCAACTGATACCAAAACAAATCCAGCAAACACGAAAGACAGAAACAGTAGACACAGCAGAGACAACAACACTACCAAAAGGAGCACCCACAACAGAAGCAACAAAAGCAACAATAGCAACAATAGCAACAACAACAACAATAACAACTACAACAACAACAACAACTATAGCAACTACAACAACAACAACAACAACAACAACAACAACAACAACAACAACCACAGCAACAACGGCAATACAGAAATACAAATGATACCATTTTCCCCCTTACCTAATATGGCATGCTTGACAAACCACATGGCAATGTTATCTCCTGTCCTTCCTAAGGTTTGAACTGGCTGCCTTGTATGATCGCCGTCTTCGTGTCTAGCGTTGTCCTGTGGTACCTGTTCATAGTGCTATGCGGACTACAGGTAAGTTACCCATGATGCACAGCGGAAGTTCTTAGCTTTTCTTAGTTTAGTTTTAGTAGAGTCTTTACGGCGCTCGCAACTAAATAAGGCCATATGAGCGCGAGGGGGTGGATATCAACAGAGTAGTCCTTACGGGGAATCAGACTTACTCTGGTCACCTCTCTAGCTTCAAAAGCACAAAGTCTGTTTAAACTATCAAGGCACCCCGGAAATAGCGGGTCACAAGAGTGTGACAAACACACAAAAGAAGTTCAGGCACAGTTATGAGCCTGACATTGATGCATCAGTCAGCCCATTTACAATTCTTCTGTGCATAAGAACATGGTTAATGTCCCCCCTTTGGGAATGGCCTAGACACATTTCAGTCAGTAGCACCACCCAGGGGGTTGAAGTTCTTGGCGCGTTTATCAAGATACGCAGCATTGAAGCAAGAATTGTTTTGGAATTGGGTGTCGCATTTTCTCATAGGATACCCGGAACAATATCTAAAAAACAAATGTGTCACAACACGGTGGAATCAGGCGATGGTCAATATTTGCGCATGTTGGTATCATCTCATCTTAAAGCTTTTTCATTTTCCTTGCTTTCGATGAAATAAGTTCCAATTTATCTTGAATAAAAGAGGAGATATTTGCAATTGAAAGAGGTGGGGGTGGAAGTAGCTGGGTTCAGAAGTAAACTTAGTGAGAAAATGGCTTCAAATTTTTTTACTTCTATTGCTTAAGAGTTCATGGACACTAACAATTTACATTTTGAGTGCCTTTAATTAACGTTCCTCAGTAAAATATTCACAGAAAGGCGTTTTAACTAGAGATATTAGGTGTGCCCAATAGAAAGCCAACAAAAATTCAATCAAAATTGCCAAATCTGAGGAAGAATGACGTTTCTTCTATTTCATTATTTAATTTTGACGAGCACCCAATTTCACCACGATACCTCACAAATCAGTTGTATAATAAATATAGTTAACATTTGGACAAGTTATACAATACAGACACTTCTTCAAACAACATCAAGCAATAAATAAATACAGAAAAATGAAATAATTTGGTTCTTTAAAACGACACCAGACCATTGTGAAAGAAGTGCTTGAAGGAAGGATGTTGGGTAGGAGAGCCAGGGGCAGACAATAAGTATGTTATAACAAGCTGAGTACCCCGTTCGTTGAACGGACTCTAAAGAATCGATCGTCAAGTCATTATGGAACCAAAGTGCACTGCTTGTGACCGGAACTCTCACTTGTTTACAATGGCGTCTGAGAAGACGGACTTTCCCAAGATTAGATCTAAACGAAACTAATGAAAAACTGAAAATTAAACCACAATGACTTCAGACTCCATATTATAACTACGCATCCTTTAAATAAATCTGAACCACCGTGAATTCTGTGAAATTCGAAAGTTCTGTGGTTGGGAAGTTTTAGGCGGCCAAAGTGACGAACTTTCACAAGATTATATTATGTATAGATGGATAAGGATGGACAACAATACAACATGAACTATCCTGTGTATAGCAGAGTGTGGAACGGCAGCTCGCGACCTTGAAGGCTGGAGGGTCATTGCACTCCAACCTGTGGGAAAAAGATGACACCTCCAAATATAGAAGAACAACAGCAAAGAGTACAAAATATTGCTGCCAAAATAATTAGTAAGAAACTAAAGCATGATCATGTGACTCCTATTTTTAAAAGAGCTACACTAGCTCCCGATGAAAGAGCATATCATAATGATATATTAAATCCGTTTAACTTGCTACAAATGCTTACATGATCTATCACCTGACTACCTAAAACAGATTTTAATACCTATGTGCCTCCTAGAGCGCTCAGATCATCAAGAGACGAAACAATCCTTGTTAAACCTAAAATAAATTACAAATCATAAGGCCAACGCTCTTTTTCATATTTTGCCCCACTTGTTTGGAATAGGCTTTCAAAAACTATCAGAGAAGCAGAAAATCTAGAAATTATAAAGAAAAAACTTAAAGAATTTCGATCTTCATCATATTTCGATTAGACAGAAGCTATCCAAGCTGTAGATCGTCGTGAGTTTGTATGTACGTATGTGTGCATGCGTGTAGGTATGTGTGTATGTGTGTGTGTGTGGGTGTGTGCGTGCGTGACTATGTGTAGGCACGCGTACGTAATACTATGTGCCAATAAAATTTATTTGTAAATACATAACATGTTTCGTGCTAAGCGCATAGAGCATTGCATAAGTAGACATGCGCTGTATAAATGCATCCATTATCTTATCATTATTATAGGCTATACGTTGTTATAGTAAATATTCACATTACTATTCAATGCTGTTTCTAGTTTATCTTTAAATTGTGTTCAGATAATTAGATACGGAGGTTAGGTTTTTTTTGGTAAAGTACTTTTTCTTCCCCCCTCTCCCCCTCTCCCCGCCGCCCCCGTCTCTCTCTCTCTCTCTCTCTCTCTCTCTCTCTGTTTTGTCTCTCTCTATCTCTGTTTCTCTCTCTCTCTCTCTCTCTCTCTCTCTCTCTCTCTCTCTCTCTCTCTCTCTTTCCCCCGCTCCCCAAACCCCTCCTCCTGAAAAAGCCACCTTTTCTCCCCTTCAGGGTGTCTATGTTTTCGCCTCGTTCTGCCTGAACAAAAGAGTTCTCACCCTGTACCGACTACTGTATCTTCGAACCGGGAAGTCCCACAAGAAAGACAACTGCTCTCCCTGTCCAGCGGATGGGTCAACGGTCAAACAGGACCAACAGACAATGAAAGACGCCACTGATTGCTCAGAACCAGCTACTATGTTCACCATTGTAGATTCCTCTCGAGGAGACGCTGTGCGAAAAGGGGTTGATAATACCCGAGTTTAGGAGTGTTCTTTTTTAAAAAGTATGTTTTTTCACTCTTATAACGTTTTTTGGTAAGTTACGCATCTAAGTGTTGTCATAGCCCCAAATGGAGATGTCTACCACAACCGGTTAGTAGTTAATGTTTAGATCATGTTAGTCCTACATTCCTCAGCTGCTGCTCTTTGGAGTCACGATTTTAGGAGTGCTCTTGTTTACGTTTTTTGTTTTTGCTATTAGATAGGGGAAACTCCTTATATCAGCGCAATACCCATATCCACCAACAATTTAAAACTTTTCCACGGCTGTCAATGGCTTTTGCCTAATATATTATATCTCAATCTTCGGTGGCCTAGTGGCTAGACTACAAGACTCGTAATCGCGAGGTTGCGGGTTCGGATGTTCGAGCCGTGGGCCCGACGTTGTGTCTTTGGGAAGAAACGCTTTACACGAATTTTCCTCACTTTAAAAAAAATCCGCCACGTGTTCCCTTTTGGGTGTCACAGGAAGAAAGAGACGTCTCTCTGCCACCAGCCTGAGAGCTTGGGTCAGGGGGATGCCGTGGGTGGTTAATGTTTCCGTGACTCCATCTATCCAGGTCTTTCTCGGTCGCCCTCTAGCCTTGTTGCCATCGATTTTTTTATGTAGGCACGTTGTGCTGGATGGTGTGTTGGTAATCGTAGGAGATGTACGAACCATTTGATTCTTTGGTGTTGGATGTCATGCATGACATCATTTATTGTGTCCATCAGTTCTCTGATTACTGAGTTTCTAATTTTGTCTCGCCTGGTCTTGTTTATTGTTTTTCTAAGACATCGCATTTCACACGTTGTAATTCTTTGTTTTAATGTTTTGTCCGTGGTCCATGTTTGGCATTGATAGGTAAGTGTTGGGAGGAAAATGGTGTTGATCATTTTGAGTATTGTTGTCATGGGGATGTTAGGATATTTCAGTAGCGAAGTAAGCTGGTAACTAACATGATTGGATAAAGGGGCTCTGGTGAAACGTGACAGGCCTAGCAAGTCGGCAGCGGATTATTCTTTCCAACAACAAAAAATTATAAAGTATATAATCGCATATCTCCGTCAGTCTGCCAAAATAATTCATCCCTCTCATCCCTCTCATCTCTCCCATCCCTCTCATCCCTCTCATCCCTCTCATCCCTCTCATCCCAGGTTGGACTAGACAAACAAGGTTGAAGAAGCCCTCTTCTTACGTTATCCTAAATTGTGGCGACTGGGATGGGGGGAGGGAGGGGGTTACAATTCTATAATAATTACGCAAAAAATGAAAAATACCATCCAAATGTTATATTCAGCCTACGATATCTTAAAGTCTTAAAGTGTGTTGGTTACGAGGTTTCAAACTTCTATCATTACAACTGCATACAAAGTATAAGAAATACCATTGAAACGTTATAATCAGCCTACAATATCTTAAATTGTGTCAATTGGGTCGGAGGGGGGTCGTTAAAATACTATAAGGGTAATTACATGCAAAGTTTAAGAAATACAATTTATATTGTATATAATCTAGCCTTTTTGTCAACCTCACGATCACAAACAAGTAAACCACAGCATATTATTATTCTGAAATTAAGACAAACCACTTATGGTCTGCTAACAGCACAATAATAATAATATTATACCAAGTCTACTTGACTACACTTGACTGTATTTTTAAACTCAAGGCTGGTTCTAAAGGACCTGCTTGTCATTTTGTTGTGTGCTTATGTTCACTCTTCCGTTCTACATCATGTGTAATGTCTTACCCTGCCTCCTTCCCACGCCCCCTCTCCCCCTCTCTCCAGCTTCCTCCCCCCTTTTTTCTCTCTCACTCTCTCTCTCTCGCTCTGTCTCTCTTTCTCTCTCTCTCTCTCTCTCTCTCTCTCTCTCTCTCTCTCTCTGTGTCGCTCTCTCTCTCTTTCTTCCTCTTTTTCTCTCTCCCTCTCTCTCTGTGTCTCTCTTTCTTTCTCTGTCTCTCCCTTCCTCTCCTTTTCTCGCTCTCTCTCTCTCTCTCTCT